TTTTAGCCTCTTAATCTTTTTTGATCGTTAATTAAGTTATTAATCAAAGTTATACACATCTTTACAATAATAATTTACTAGACCTTTGGGCCCTCTGCCTTCTCTTACTGAAGCTTCCATATCCATAGTGGGAAGTACAGGCTTTCAACACGGGAGGGACAGATTGACCTTTTAAACCATGGTAGCAATATAAAAAGTTATACACCTGACAACAATTCAGGTGAGAACCAAGTCCCAAATGAGGGCCGTGGTAGAAGCAGAAATGAAGAGGAAGAGATGCATTTGGAAGGTATTGAAAGAACAAAGGAGCTGGGCTTTGTGTCTGAAAGATACAGTGAAGTGAATTACTTCATATGGCTCTTGTACCCAGAGTTTTTGTAACTCATATGAAATGACATTTTTGTCCTGCAAGATCTGTGTAAGAGAAAGTAGGGGAAGATGCTGAGAGGATAACATGATTCAGTTGAGAAGGGTTAACAGTTCATTGTGAAGGTAAAAATTTGAACACTAGCATGGGTGTCAGAAGCTCTGGTAGCAAAGGGGTTATAATTAGGGCTGCTAACCTCAGTGTCAGGTCAGCAGTTCGAAACTACCAGCTATTCCGTGGGAGAAAGATGAGGTTTTTTGCTCCCGTAAAGATTTACAGCCTTGGAAACCCTGTACAGGGTCGCTATGAGTTGGAACCGACTCCACGGCACATAACAACAACAACAACAACAACAACCTCAGTGTCAGCAGTCTGAAATAACCAGCCATTCCGCAGGAGAAATACGAGGTTTTCTGCTCCTGTAAAGGTTTACAGCCTCAGAAACTGTATACAGGGTCTCTATGAGTTGGAATCAACTCCGTGCCACATAACCACCACTCCCACCAGCAGTAGCAGCATGGGTAAAAACTGAGCTGTCTAACAAACAGGAGCTCTAATAGTGTTGTTGTTGTTGTTGTTAAGTGCCGTCGAGTCGGGTCCGACCCATAGCGACCCTGTACAGGGTTTCCGAGGATGTAAATCCTTACGGGAGTAGAAAGCCTCATCTTTCTAATAGTGTAGTGGTTACGAATTGGGCTGCTAACCTGAGTCAGCAGTGCAAAGCTACCAGCTGTTCCGCAGGAGAAAGATGAGGCTTTCTGCTCCCGTAAAGATTTACAGCCTCGGAAACCCTGCACAGGGCTGCTATGAGTCGGAACCGACTCCACGGCACATAGCAACAACAAACAGGAGGGGAAGTCCCACTATCATTACAGAAGAGCCAGGGGTGGACAGCATGTTCTTTGGATCCCGAGATCCCTGCACATGGAATCTCCTCAAACTTTGAGATAGAAAGCTGTGACACTGGAGGGGCAGAGGAGCAGCGGCAACAGAACCAAGAGTCAAAACACCAGACAGAGCGGTAGGCTTCCCAGGCCTCCGAGCAACTAACGCTGAGTGATTTCGGGCAGGAGGCTTGCCTGCACTGCACTGGGGGAGCTAGGATTGCTGACCCACAGAGCCAGTGGCTTCAGGTGGAGGCTTTGGTGTTGCAGTGTATCCTGTGGGCACTGATTAGCAGCCCTGACAGCTTGGTACCACTGGCCTGCAGAGAGGCCTGCCAGTAGGCACGGCTGAGGATCGGCTGTTCTGGTAGGAACAACAGTGCCCTGAGCATTTCTGACCCTGATGTAGTAAAGGAGGGAGAAAGGAATGAAGGGTGAGATGATACCATCCATTCTGGATTGGCTGAGTGTGAGGTGAGCTGTAAAATAGAGTCTTAAGAGAGCAGGTGGAACTCAGGAAGACAGGCATCTGTATCCGGGGCTGAGGAAGAAGCTACAGTATGCCAGAGCTGAGCGCTGGAGCGGGAGCAGAAGGGCTGCAAATGGGCCAAGGTACACAACTGCAGCCCAAAGGGGGAAGGGGCTTCCAGAACAGGATGAGGAGGGTGTCACTGTGGACACGGAGCTGGAGGTAGGACACAAATTCCAAGGTGGGTGTCTACCAAAGGGTAGCCTAAGGTGAGCAGGGTGAGAAGGGTGTTTACCTCACACGGCTACCCCCGTTAAGGCATCAGGAACTACAGTTAGGAGAGTCTGGGGGCATGGGGTCAGTCCAACCATATGAATAGTGAGGACACCATCCACACATGGAGTGACTCAGCCAATGCATTGTGCTGAACCACAAGTTAAATGAGGCAACATTTGAGCAGAGGTTAGTCTGAGAAGGGTGTCCACATGAGGTGAGGGAGAGCAGCCAGGCCCAGGGAGTTAGACCCTAAGCAGGGTAAGCAGGGCAGCCTTGTGAAGGGGTGGTCTGGTGTAGGCTGTCAGGGTTGGATGTGACACAGAATGGAGAGTCAGAGCTCCAGCAGGGATGTGAAAGAGATGGGCAACTGGCCATTCTCAGGGAGACTGATTACAGCTGAAAATGTGTTAAGATGACCAGAAGACAGGTTGCTCACTGTGGGAGAAGGGAGATACAAACGATTAAGTTGAACTCGGTGGTCTTGGTTTAGAACTGGATGTACTAGTGGGACCTCATGATTTTTAGCATACATGGTGGTGGTGGTGGCGAATGATCAAAGGAAACTAAAGAGGCATGACGATGGTGGTCATGTGCTGTGGAGTCAGTTCAAAGAGGCATGAGAACTCAGTGCAGTGTGTGATTCTGCACAGGCTCTGTGTGCCATATGACAGTATTGAGGCAGTGTGTGACATGGCACTGGACTATGACGATTGGACGGTAGTCTAAGGTATGAATGGCATTTCCAGATTTGGACTATTATGTTGTGGAAATATAGCAGAATGTCCTGCTAGTAGGAACAACTTGTTAACATGTTTGGAGATAATGTGCCACCATGTAAGCAACTTGGCATTCAACTTTCAACATTTTAAAGTTTAAATTAGCTTAAAAGTTTAAAAAACATTAAGGCACTCATTTAATGTAGATTGCAGTTGAGTATATAGCCTTTTTATCTGTATGGAAGGAAAGCCCTGAATATGACTGTTTATTTTATACCTCAGAATGTAAATAAAAACCCACCACCAGACCCCAGCTCACACTGGAACATACAAAAAACCAATACCATGCCCCTAGTTCACACTGGAACACACAGAAACCCAATACCATGCCCCCACTTCACACTGGAACACACAGAAACCCAATACCATGCCCCCACTTCACACTTGATCATACAGAAACCCAATACCATGCCCCTAGTTCACACTGGAACACACAGAAACCCAATACCATGCCCCCACTTCACACTTGATCATACAGAAACCCAACACCATGCCCCCAATTCACACTGGAACACACAAAAACAGGTTTTAGAGTATTTCACTGCACCATTGCTTGTGGTTCCTATAAAATAGTTAGCCATTCACTGAGACTGTTAATATTATTAACAGAAAATCTTAGTACTATGGGAAAATAAGTTTTTTGCTAAACATTAGTTATTTACTATACAGACAGAGAGTATCCAGTTTTAGTACATTAGTTAAAGGGGAAAAGAACAATGATCTAAATGAACAGTACAAAGTGCAACAAAAAAGCTTTTTACCAACTTACATACACAATTGTTTCTACTAAAGAGCACACATATTTTCTATTATACAGTTGATCCTAGAACAATACAGGGGCCAGGGGTTATGGGGACCAACGTCCCGTGCTGTAGGAAATCCATGTATCATGTACAGTTGACCCACGAACAAGATGGGTTTGAACTGCAGGTTTCTCTACTGTTCCGGCAGAGATGAACAGAGCCACAGATCTGTGGATACTTGCAACAATTGCTCATCGTATTAGCAGCAGGAAAAACAATCTGTATTTAAGTGGGTCCATGTAGTTCAAATGTGTCCTGTTTGAGGGTAAACTGTACTATATTAAAATGGTTAGCATTTATGCATGGAAGGTTTGATCTGATAGAAATAAACTCATAAATATGTAACGATTCCAAAATGCAGAGATAGGTAAGAATTTCCTTTTCTAGAACACGTAGATCTAAAATAAAATTCTATAAAAACATGACTCTGAGTAATGTGAGGAGACTTCGAAAACTTCCTAGAAAAGTGGAATGAAAAGATACTGGCATTGTTCCACAAACTTTCTGAAAACCCCTCATGTATCTGAAACCAATTTCTGATTATCAATTTAAAGTTAAAAGGCAGAGTTTTGCATAACTGTAAGCTAGTTTTTAAGTTAGAATGCACATCCTCTTAAGTAACAGAATCATAAATGATTACATTATCAAACCAGTCTATAAACTTTGCACAATCACTACTGTACCTGGAACCTAGTAATATGTGTAACAAATTTATTTCTCTGGTAAAATAAGTCAGATTTCAAGGCACACCAAGAAAAGGAATGACTTCGATTATAATCCCTAATAAGTAGGGATATTCGATTTAGAATTCCTTGCAATGCAGTTTTTTCTCCACATACCTTATATCACCTGTTACTTCCAACCTAGGTTTCTTTACAAATCAGGACCATTATGGAATAAAATGAAGTCAGATTCTTCTCTCCTGGCAAGAAGACTAGTCACTCAACCTGACTGTCAATTCTTAATTTCTAAAATACCTCCTTTAAAACTGGGGTGGAGCTATTATCTGGCCTCCTCTGGCTCCACAAGGGGGCACGAAGAGAATCCCCATCAGCATGGCCAAGGCTAACTTCTAGGAGACAGAGGTCAGACATGCCTCCACCCTCCAACCTTCCTTACCAATTCTGATACCACCTGTCCCTACCACAATACTCTCTACTTCTCAGCTGGGATAGATAATTCATTTCAATGGCCACATAGAGTTCACAGACAATACTCATGGGCTTTATTAGGGAAGTTAAGTTACAGTTCAGGATCAAAACTGCTCACGATCCAGTCTCTTTTCAGCCATGCCTGCAGCAGACCTCTCTCTGGCCCTTGGTCCTTTGGCCTGGCCTCTGCACTGCTTGGGCAATAGTATGGAGCTTCTTTAGTGTTGCTGAAAAATGCCCAAAGGATGTGCCACTATGCCCCAGGCTCAACCTGAAGGTGGTCAATTTTAGCTTTGTGAGCCAGAAGACCTGGCTCCCCCTATTGAGTGTCAGGAGGCACCATACTCCACAAACAAGCCTCCTGCCCACAGGTACTCAGCTTTCTCACTCCCTGGGTTGGAAGCCTAACACACTGTCTTGTGCTGCCATAGCTCTCTGTCTCTTGGATCAAGGAGGTTCAACATGCAGGGATCCCAGGGTCCAAAATACATACTCCACGCTCTTGGCTCTTCTTTCTTGATGGCAGTGAGAGAACCCCATCATCCTGCATCTCAGATGGCACATTTTATACCCAGTGCGATGGCAAAACTGACCAATCCCCACAGTAGAGTTCCAGTTTTTACAATCACAATTCACTCTATTCACAATCATGCAACACTGATAATCTTATCAACATCTCCCCTATCTTTTCTTACTCACACCCACCCACAATAGACCAGAAATTTGGTGGGTGTTACAAAGCCTATGGTGAGAAGAGCCATATCAAATATTTGATGACTGCATGGCAACATCTCACCTTAGCTAGGGGGCTGCTGGGAACATCGCGCAGCGTAACGTGCCTATGACACCTGTCAATGTGTCTGAGATCTAGTAGGTGATTTCTACACTGTCATATCCAGGACAGTCTGACTCCCTAAACCATACCCTTCCTTTTCAATTCCCAATGCTGCCTTTAAGTCCTTGTGCAACACATTAATCAAAATAATAATTCTTTTCTGGGAAGGTGTTAGGACATGATGACATTAAATAGGAAGGGAACGAGTTTACGTTCAGTAGTTTGAAGATTTTTATCTAATTCACCCATTGTCTCAAAAGCTCATGGTGCCACCAGGGGTCCTTTCTTGCACTAAAGGAAGGCTAAGGAAGAACTGCATGCACCTGGTCCAACTTACCTTCCAATTCTTAAAGACACAGTTAGGAATAGGTCTCATTCATGACTTGAGAACTGACTATACAAAAATTTCTTGTGCTAAATATAAACCTGAAGGTGTCATACTGGTAGTTCCCTTCAACTAGTAAGAGCAATACATGTGAGTTCTAATTTTAAAAAATCACGTGCTTCATCTTGATGTGAAAACATTTAGTACACATCGGCATACAGCTATTTAAAATAAACCCCATATTAACATAAAAAACAAAACAAAAAAAAAACACAAAAACAAAACACCCAAAAGCCAAAAACACCCAAACCAAGTCCCATGGAGGTAATTCCAACTCAGCGAGCCTGTACAGAGTTTCTGAGGCTGTAAATCTTTACAGGAGCAGAAAGTCTCAGCTTTCCCCTTGGTATATTTGAACTACCAACTTGGGTTAGTAGTCCAGCACTCATCCTACAGTGCCACTTGCTGCTGTTGTTGTTAAGTGTTAGTGAGTCTGTTCCCACTCATAGTGACCCTTTATAGGGTTTTCAAGGAGGGGCTGGTGGGGTTGAACCTTTTGGTTAGCAGTCCAGTGAGCTCCTTTATCCTACAGCAGGGCTCCTATATTAACATGCAGATTTATAATAAAGAATAAATTAAGGGGTAAGGTTTTTTCTTTATAAAATTTTATTTCTTTTTAATTATAGCCTTTTTTTTTTTTTTCAAACTATGGTTGATTTATAAGATATTAATTTACACATACTTTATATAAAAAGAGTTAGGGGTATTGATCGGAATTTCTTAAAATTTGTTCTATGGAACGTCTACAAGGCTCAATGTCAGACAAATTCAGTTAACAGTTTTAAGGTTTGTTGGTTTAAGCACATGTCTGAGAAAAAGGTAAAACTATCTTTTAACTTTATGAGTATGATTAATGAAATGCCAAGGGTAATTTCTCAAATACTTGAAAAAACGTATAACTTCCATTAGAACGAAGAAAAATAGAAATGATAAGGTAATCAATTCTTAAAAAGCAATGATGAAATAGGGATAAAAAACAGAAAGCATGCTAGATTCAAATACAAATTTCTATCTGTCTCTATACATATGTATATATATTTATTTGACATTAACTGTAAAAATAATTAAATGATACAGCAAAGAAGGACAGAAGGAAATTACCAAGTAGGATAAAAATAAAAATCCAATAATATAATTCTATTTGAACAGGCATGTCTGTAACATAATGGAAGAAAATACACAATTAAAATTTTTGTAGATCAAATGCAAAAACTCAAATTATAGAAATAAAAAAATGGACAGAACTATGAGAGTTAGAAAAATCCACAATCAAATTAGACATCATCACACCTATCTCGGTAATGCGGAGTATGTAGACTACAATGATTAAGAACACTGAGAATCTGAATGAAATTCCTAACATTAGGAGGGACCAGTCCCTGGAAAAGGACATAATGCTTGGTAAAGTTGAGGGTCAGTGAAAAAGAGGACGATCCTTGATAAGATGGATTAACTATAAAAGTCACATGTTTTACCCCATGGTAATTGAAACTGGCTACTAACCAAGAGGTTGGTAAATTAAATCTACCGGCTAATCTGAGAAAAAACTGTGTAGCTGTCTGTTCCATATGGTGACAGCCTTGGAAACGCCATGGGACAGCTGTACTCTATCCTATAGGGTCACCCCGAGTATGAGTCAAGTTGACGTTACCATCATGGAGTCTGGTGCTGATCTTAGCATTGGCAATGATGTATACCCACTCTTTCCTTTTCCACATGATCAGGCTCCAAAGATCAGGTTATGTGAAAATGAAAGATGAGCTTATCAGATCACAATATGGTGGGTAATTACATCGGTGTTGCTGTGTACCGTCGAGTCAGTTCTGACTTACAGTGACCCTGTGTAGGGTTTCCGATAGCATCTGGTAAGTTTGAACTGTCGACCTTGTGATTGGCAGTCCAGTGCTTATCCTACAGCACCACACCAGGGCTCATTTATAGCATTATTTACTGCTGAAGTTCATCATTACATAATTTCCAAGTTATCATTATGTAACTGCCAAATTGCATCAGTACATAACTGCCACACCACATGGCCTGGGCAAGCAGGCACATAACCTTAGCCATCACAGCCAACATCACACTCGCCTCACACCTTGGTTTTCATTACTGCCAGACCTATGTCACATATGCAAAAAATAATTGTATAGATTTTTTACTATTGTTGTAAATGCAAAATTGTCAGATAAAGAGACAGTCACTAATGAGTAAATGGAAGGAGGAGGATTAGTTTTTGACATGGGAGGTAGTTACACAGCTCTTCACTTCACAGTTATTTGCTAAGCTGTATATTTATATTTTAAGTACTTCTTTATTTTTTTTTTAGCTAAATTTTTTCATTATGAGTGAAAACAAACATTGTTGTAAAATCATCAGTCTCGTCAGTAGAAAGCCACCAATCTTCACAAAGTTAAAGTAGTTCTAGCTAGTGAGTACACTTACCACATAATATTTAGAATAATCCAAATCATGTTTCTAAAAACTTTACTGTATTTTTTCATCATAGATAAAAGTAATCTGGGAGAGTGGCAAGTCTTCATGACAAATTTTACAGGCCTCCCTAATCACTAACCCCCTTCTTAACCTTCCTATACATTTCTCTTGGATAAATGCCATCACCATCTCTGGAGCCCTGATGTGGCACAGCAGGATAGGCAATCTTGACTGCAAGATCGGTTTGAATGACCAGTTTGGCAGTTCACACTCACCAGCTGCTCCTCAGAAACCCTCTCAGCAGGGTTGCTATAAGTCAGAACCAACTCATCGGCACTTTAACAACATCATCTTTCCTATCCTCTGCTTCCCACCAACAGAAGGGTCAACTTCCTCAATTTCAAACTAAAATCTCAAATTTCACTTGAGGTCATTGATTTCTAGCCAGTAGGGTGGTAAAGTTGTCAGTTTCAAGCAAAAGACCAGGATTCAAAAGACACAAAACCTTCCCATAGTCACTAAACTAGCTTCACAAACAAATCTTTAGCAAAGAGCATTGCTGTTTTTGTTGTTAAGTGCTGTAGAGTTGGTTCTGACATAATGTGAGCCTGTATAGGGTTTCCGAGGAGCACCTGGTAGGCTGGACCACCGACCTTGTGGTTAGCAGTCCAGGCATAGAGGAAAATAGATATTTTTCTTACTTTGGGACAAAGGGATGGACACGTTTCAAAGAACCCTCAAGGTCATTTATGCTTACAATATTTAAGCCAATATCTGTTTCAGGAATGCATATTAAAAAATTAAAAAATAGAAATCATTGATGCCTCATATGTATAATATATGTAATAAATAAAATATGTAATGTACTTACCGTTTCCATTAATAGACAGATTATGAGTCTTGAAGTTATCCTCAATACTTTCCAAGGTCAGAGTAGTATGAGCTAGCAAATTATACTTTGCACCACTAATATAAGAAACAAGACATGTTTTAAATATTTTCATGTTTTCTATTACATAAAACATTTGGCTGTTATAGAAAACAGATTTTAGTCAACATACGTTATTAATAAATTTCACATGTTTATCTATGATGTTTTTATCTTAATAAAATCTGCACATTATTTGGTTTAACTCAAACACAAATGTTTCTCTGAAGGGTCCACAACTATCCATTCTGTACATTGAACTGAAAACCTAATATGTACCAGGTGATGGGCATTTAATGATGAACAAGACCCAGCATTACATTCTGGTACTGCACATTATAATGCAATTTTTCTATGAAGGAAACCAACAAGAGGATGAGAATATTGAGGACCTATGATAAGTGAGGAATGCTGGTGTGGCACTGTAGGATCAGCACTGAACTGTTAACCACATGGTCAATAGTTCAAACCCACCAGCCACTCTTTGGAAACCCTAAACAGGGTCGTTATGTGTCAGAACCAACTTGACAGCACTCAACAAAACAATGATAGATAACCAGGAAAAGGAAATGTGTCGCAGTTATGGAGTCATAAAAGGAGGTAGCTAAGCAGAGAATGAGAAAAACATTCCAAGCAGAGAGAACAGTGTGCACAGAGGGAGGGAGAGAGACGATCCGAACTCCGTGAGCAACTGGGATGCACGGTTCAACAAGAGGTTGGAAATACAGGCAGGGGTTAGGTCATGAGGGCCATGTGCACCTTGGAAGAAGAGTGGATTTAATTCTAGAAGTCGCTGAAGGTTATTAACAAGGGGAATAATGGGAACTGGTTCATATTTATTTCATGAGCATAAGAATTAACCTCTTTCCTTTGGGTTACCTACTTCAAAAACTTGGGGATTTTATCTAGTATGGGGAAAGACAGACTTCATTACTAATCATTATTTTCCATTTTATAATAATCCTTTTTAAGCTGCTTTTGCTAAAGTCACACTCTTGCGAAACTACTAAGAAAATCTAGGAATAAACTTCGTATCTTGGCTCTTTATGGTGCCCAAAGTAAATTTTTATTCAATAATGACTAGCGTTTTCTGTGCTAGTATTCTTAATTTAATTTTGTGATCCTTCTTGGTTTTATTATTTTCCCAAACAATAAATTCTCAAAACTCAAAATGTCAAAGTTACTGCTATTAGGTGCCTCTCAGTCAATTCCAAATCAGGGGCCCAGTGTGACAGCAGAGCTGCTCCATGGGGTTTCCTAGGTTACAATCCTCATAGGAGCACATCGCCAGATGACTGATCCTCAGAGCTGCTGGGTGGATTTGAACCACCAAACCGAGCGCGTAACCACTGTGGCACCAGGACTATAAACACAATAGTAATTAGTTGTTCTTGTACAGGTTTTGTGTATTTGTATTTTAGAAAAGTAGATGGGAGCCGGGTATAATAGAACATTATAATTTCACTTAAAACAATAAAAAATAGGATCCCTGTCATCATGTTCATACAAAATACACTATTTTCAGGAAAGATCACGACAATGAGTGAGAGCTGCCAGCACTGACCCAGCACTCTCGGATAGTAGCTAACAATGACAACCATTCCCTCGTGATGGGACCAGAGCATCTTAGAAGACAGAGAAATAAACATATAACTGTATCAGGATCTGAGGTCAAGTGGAGTCCTGTGTGGCACTGTGGACTAATGGCGCTTGATAGCAAAGTCAGTTTGAAATGCAAGGTCAGTGGTTCAAGCTCACCAGCCACTCCTCGGAAATCCTATACAGGGTCCATTCTGACTCACAGCAACACTATGTAGGGTTTCCAAGGAGCGGCTGGAGAGCTTGAACTAGAAACCTTGTGGTTCAAACCAACTTTATAGTTCAATGCATTAACCCACAGTGCCACACCAAGACTCCAAGCTTGTTATTTCAGATAGACAAGGGAGAAAAAAATGATCCGAGAAAGTAACATTTCAGGAGAGGCCTGAATGAAATAAATGAGCCGTAAGAAAGAAAAGCAGATGAAAGACCATTTCAGACAAAGGAGAGTAAGTGCAAAGACCAAAGTGAGCCCATGGTAGGTGTGGCTGGAGTACAGTGAGGGAGTGCTCTGAGATGCCCAAAAGAAAGGAAGGGGGTAGACACTACATCGAGCTGACCTGCAAGGCATGAACAGGACACCTCTTAAGAGGGTTAATAAGCAAAGATGTCACACTGAGGACTAAGGTGTGCATGACTCAAGCCATGATATTTTCAGTCATCTCATATGCGTGCAAAAACTGGACAATGAATAAGGATGGTCAGAGAAGAATTGTTGCATTTGAATTATAGTGTTGGTGAATGATACTGAATGTTCTGTGGACTGCCAGAAGAATGAATAAATATGTTTCAGAAGAAATACAGCCAGAGGCTCCTTAGAAGTAAGGATGGCGAGACTCAGTCTACTGTTCTTTGCGCATGTTGTCAAGGGGGTGGCCAGTCCCTGGAGAAGGACACCATACTTGGTAAAGTTGTTGTTGTTGTTAACTCCCGTTGTGTCAGTTACGACTCTAGTGACCTTGTATAGGGTTTCTGAGAGGTGGCTGATGAGCTTGAAACGCCAACCTTGCGGTTCAAACAAACATTGCAGTCCAGAGCATTAACCGGCAGTGCCATACCAGGTAAAGGGTCAGAAAAATGAGGAACATCAGACGTAAGATGGACTGACACAGTGGCTGCAACAATGGGCTCAAGTGTAGGAGTGATTCTGAGGATGGCACAGGACTAGACAACAGGTCACTGAGTCAGAACTCACTGGGTGGCACATAACAACAATTATTGATGATAGATCTAGGATATGAACAAGGGATGCATGGCAGAGATGGACTAGAAGACAAGATCACTGACAGAAAGTCATGAAACTCAGAGGCTACAGTATTAGATGAATCGTCTACATGTAACAAGGAAAGTAAAAAAAAGTAAATCACAGGCATCTTTAGTAAACTAAAATATCCAATTGTGAAATTATGGTTTATTGACATACCCTCCCTCCAGGACTGAAGGCGATGTTTCCATCTCCAAATCCTTCCTCAAAGAATTCTGTGCTCTTTGATTTACACCATATCAAATCACATTTTGAAATCCTGGAGGAACTCAAATCATTTTCCTTATAAATATTATTTGAGTTTTGGGGACAAAATGAAATATGAAATGGCAAGATCAGGGTTATAATACATGGGGCATGGTTTCCAACCAAATTATCTCAAGACAGCCCTTGATACCCTCAAATAATTGTTATGATGGAAAAACAATTCCATGGTGCAACTTTCCTAGGCTTTTTCTGATAAATGCAGCTTTCAGTGTTACGAGCACGCTAATGAGATGAAGATAAGTGTATCAGTGAGATAACGTGTGTATAGTCATCCGCTGACTGCAGAGATGTGTGTGTAACTGGAACTGGGTAGCAATATTTATGATTTATCCTTGTATGTTACATCCACCAATAATAATAACATGAAATGGTGAAGTCAAGGAGAAGGAGAGAAACAAGAGAGAAACCTTTTCATTTCATTTTTAGGATTTATATTGCAATACTCTCACTGGTGACCAAAACTCTTTGCATGTTCTTCACTTTAGAAACTGTCATTCCAATACACAGTGAAATGGAAAGTGCTGCGATTAATGTACACAGGAAGCAACCCTGTAACAGGCTGTGCCTATGCAATGAGTTGGCTAGAAATGTGACATGCTACAAAGCAACTTGGGTAGTAGCAGAATAGGCTAAAATTATCTGATAGTCAAAGTATATGTTTACGTTTTTTGTCTCAATCCTTGTTATTACTGCTGATAAATGCTGTCAAGTATGTTCTGACTCATATAAACCCTGTAAAGGGTTTCCAAGGAGCAGTTGGTGGGTCTGAACCACCGACCTTGCGATTAGCAGCCCAGTGTTTATCCTATTGCGCCACACCAGAACTCCATAGAACATAACCATTACTGACGACTGTTCCTTAGATGTTTTCAAGCAATGTTAGACCTTTACTTCTACTGAGTGATACTTCTGAAACTACCAACATGAAAAATGTTACTGAAAACCTCTACAAGTTATTAAATAAACTGTGAAATATCCAATTAACAAGAGTAGTACACTTGGTTAAGCGTTCAACTAGTAGCCCCAGAATTGACAAATTCATTCATGTTATTGTTAGGTGCCATCAAGTCAGTTTCAACTTATAGTGACAGTGTTTAGGATTTCCAAGGATTTAAAGTCTCATCTTTCTCATTCAGAGCAGCTGGTGGATTTGAACTTACAGGCAGAGAATTTCACTTGCCTGCAAAGACTTCACAGCCTATAATTGATTTGTCTATAACTAATAAATGGCATATTGGCAAGAGAACCCACTATATATCACACTATATTTAATTAAGAAATTGTTTAAAATTAAGCTATTTTTCTGTTAAAACAGTGACCTACATTTTGCTATATTTACTATAAGATTTTTTAAATGTAGGGATCATGACTTACTATCCTTTGAATCCAACATAGCATATGACATTAACTACTTTCCTAATTATGTTTGAAAACTATACTATCTCTCACACCAAACTTTTAACACTAATGTTCCTCATGACAAAAACAATCCATTTTTCCTAAATAAATGCTAGGACACTTGTTTTATAACTTTAACTTTGATTTGATTTTAAATGTAGCACAGTGGAACAAGTGTGAGAGGACTAAGAGACAGGAAAACGTTTGCACGGCAAAAGCCTACCTGTAACTCCCAGAGACAAAGGTGTGATTATTTATTTATTTGATTATATTGATCTATTTATCCTTCTTTCTCTACTCATTTCCTTTCTGGTGACCAGAGGCAACACCTGTAGGTGCAGACAACCCAGAGAAGGTTCCGTGAGGACCCTGTGGCTGGGCACGTAAGTGAAGGGGGAGGAGAAACCAGAAACAGCCCACAACAGCAAGCTCTGCTGCAAATCAGTTCTGGCCAGCACTGGGCTAGCTCTTATTAGGAGACGCAGCTGGACAGACTTGAGGGATGAAAAC